CAGACCCCCCATAGCAGAAACTCTGGGGTGGGGCCTGTCTTTGTGTGTTTGTTTTAAATTTATTTAATATATTTGTTGATTTCAGAGAGGAAGGGAGAGGGAGAGAGAGAAAAAGAGAGAAAAATCAATGATGAGATGGAATCATTGATCGGCTGCCTCCTGCACGCCCCACATGCGGGGATCGAGCCTGCAATCCGGGCAGGTGCCCTGACTGGGAATCGAATCGTGACCTCCAGGTTCATAGGTCAACGCTCGACCACTGAGCCACGCGGGCCGTCCGTCGGTGGTTTAACAAGCCCCCCGGCTGGTTCTGATGCCTGCTCGGGCTTCAGGGCCCCCGTGCAGTGCTTTCAGGGGTCCCAGCAGAGATTCCTGGGAAATCGCCCTTCCCCCACGGGATGGCGTCCTTGGCCTCCTCCCGTTGCCCAGTTCAGCCTCAGTGCCTCTTGCCAAATGCGCGATTGGATACTTTCCGTGACAAGTAACAGAGAAGTGTCGACTCAGACCAACTTGAACAACAGGAGACATTCACTGGCTTGCATGTCCTAATTGAAAAGTCCGGAGGGAGGTCAGGTTTGAGGGGGAGTTGGAGCAGGGCTGTCACCCCTGATTTCCAGGGCCCTCCTCTTTGTATCAGCTGCCTTCACACTGGCTTCCCTCGCGGTGCCAGGTGGCTGCCTGCACCCATCAGGGCAATGCGCTTCCGAACTCACCAGCTCCGCCCTGGCTGGTTTGCTCAGTGGATAGAGCATCAGACTGAGGGGTCTCGGGTTCGATTCTGGTCAGGGCACATGCCTGAGTTGTGAGCTCGATCCCGAGTGGGGTGTGTGTGTGTGTGTGTGTGTATGTATGTGTGTGTGTGCGCGCGCAGGAGGCAGCAGATCAATGATTCTCTCTTAACATTGATGTTTCTATCTCTCTCCCTCTCTCTCTGAAATCGTCAATAAAAATATATATTAAAAAAACACACAACACCCCCCCCCAAAACAAACAAACAAACAACAACACCTCACCAGCTTTGTTGTGATCAGACCAGCCCTGAACCAGCCATCAGGGCCAAGGCAGAGAGTCCCCCTGATGGGGGGGTGAGGTGCGCCCCATCCCGCTCTCATGGCTGTCTCAGGAAGGGAAAGGTTTGCTGTTTGCCCCAAGTCCACCGTTCCCTGCTTTCCCAGCTTCCAGAGTTAACCCATCCGGGGGTGTCCCAGGGACCTGAGTGCAGCACCCCTTGTTAAAACCCTTTGGTGCCTCTCCCCAGACACACACACAGGGCTCTCAGGGTGCAGTTCATGCCTTGGGATGTTCCAGTTCCAGTCCACCTTTGCAGCCTGCTCTCTTCCCATCCTTCCAACCTCGTGGAACACTTCCCCCTCCCCTTTCCCTCTTCCCGCTTCCTCAGGCTTCCAGGCGGCCAGCCTCTGCATTTGCTGTGTTCTGCCTGGAATGTTGTTGTCTTTCTTCACCTGGTAAATTTGCCCTTCAGAAACCAGCCCGGATGTCTCCTCCTCTGGGAAGCCCTCCAGGGTAGCTCCAGGCCTGGTTACCACTTCAACCATAGGCTTCCGTGAAATGCATCACCACCGCTCATCTCTGTGTCTGCCTCTGCCTGTGGCCGTGGGGCAGGGACCTGTCTGATTTGTCCTAGGTCACCAGTCCCCAGGCTTGTCACACATTAGCAGCCCAGATAGTGTTTGTTGATTGAATACTACTTTTATGGCCCCTGGTAGGCCCTGAGTGATAGTTGTCCATGGGTTGGACTGATCACAAGTCTCCCTTCTCCAGGTCCAGAGAAAACCCCGAGCCACAGCTGCTTGCCGCCCTCTTGAGGGAGCATAAGGACCAGCGTCTGTGGGGTCGAGGAGTGGTCCTTGGTCCCGGGAGCCGTTTGAGTTGGGGCTTGCGGAGGGAGGGCTCGGAGGCCTGAGCTTGCACCCAGGAACCCTCGATCCCCTGGAGCCTCCTTTCATCCCAGGACACTGTGGGCACAGGCACCCCCGCCCTCAGATGAATACGTACATCTGCAACCTGGGGTTATGTTAGGCCAGTTCTTTCCAGTAAAAAAAAAAAAAGTTTATTTCTAATATAAAATTTTATTTTTTTAAAATATACTTTTTATTGATTTCAGAGAGGAAGGGAGAGGGAGAGAGAATCATTGATCGGCTGCCTCCTGCACGCCCCCTACTGAGGATGGAGCCCGCAACCCGGGCATGTGCCCTTGACTGGAATCGAACCCAGAACCCTCCAGTCCACAGGCTGACACTCCATCCACTGAGCCAAGCTGGCCAGGGCTCTAATATAGAGTTTTATGTTCATTGACTAAAATGTGGAGAGTACAAGTACAGACCCCTTACAGTCCTCCCCTGGATATTGATGTAGATGCTTTCTCTTTTCTAAGCATGCATATTTAGTAACTTCCTAAGGCATGAAGATGATTATTTTATTTATTATTACTTGTTGCGGTTATTGTTTTGCTAATCAAATCCCCTGCATTTCTGAGAGTTCCTTGCAGCCCTAGCCCTGAGGAGCTGAGCGGTAGGTGTTGAGACCCATGTGATGGGCCCTGGCCAGTGGCTCAGTTGGTTGAGCATCGTCCTGTGCATTGAAGGGGCTGCTGGTCAGTTTTTTTTTTTTTTTGCATCACTACAAAAGGCATGAAGCCTCGAAGCATTTAAAACTAACGGGAGGAAAGAAAAATACTTTCAAAAAAAGAAGAAAAAGCCATAACCGGTTTGGCTCAGTGGATAGAGCGTCGGCCTGTGGACTGAAGGGTCCCAGGTTCGATTCCGGTCAGGGGCATGTGCCCTGGTTGTGGGCACATCTCCAGTGGGGAGTGTGCAGGAGGCGGCTGGTTGGTGTTTCTCTCTCATCGATGTTTCTGGCTCTCTATCCCTCTCCCTTCCTCTCTGTGAAAAATCAATAAAATATATTTTAAAAAAAAAGAAGAAGGGAAAGCTAACCACTTTACTGGGCAATGTTTACGAAAAGGTTGCCGGAGCCTCGCTCTGACCCACGCCCTGGTTGCTGGCGGGGACTGCTGTGTCAGAGAGAGCTTCCAGCTTCGTACGTGCGGGTGAGGGGCAGTGATTTCCTAAAAGCACGGTGTCGCGGTCCACACACAAATTGTGAAATAGCGTGGGTTCAGTCCGGGCGGACAGCCAAGGGTTGGTGCCTTTATTTATGGGCATAAAACCGAAGCTAAGCTCAGAGCGTCCCAGCAGCCAAGGCGCAAAAGTAAGAGAAGAAAAGGGAAGCAGCAGGGGTCACGGAGCGCAGGGGCTGCAGAAGAGGAAGCGACCCAGGCTGGTGGGAAGCTCTGCTTTCCTGGCGCGAACCCGGGAGGAGGTCGTGGGCTGGGGTGAGGGTGGGTTGTGGGCTGGGGTGAGGGCGGGGTGTGGACTGGGGTGAGGGCGTGGTGTGTGGGAACTTCCCCTGACCAGGCGGGAACCGCTGGGTTTGGCCACTGCTCCCACGGACTCTTGGTAATAACGGGGTGTGTTGATAAGCTAGTTCTCGGAGAGCGTATTTTTGTAGGAAGCTGAGGAACATTGTCTAAGTGTGACTTTGTTTGCTAGAGGTTTAACAAAGTACATGCTAGTTGGTGTGTTGTTCACTTGACTGTCTTGATGCTGTTGGAGGTAGAGGTGGTGAGGACGTTTGCTTGGGGAGAGGCTGTGGCTGACCCGGCCAGGGGCACATTGCCAGTTCAGTGGCACTGCCAGGACGGGGGCCGTCTGCCGCCCTTTCCTTTTGGGCTGTGCCCAGTTAGGCTCGGGAGCTGTCGGCCCTTCTGACCGCCCCTGGGGCCGTGTGTCTGCCTCTGGGTTGGAGGGACTTCCCAGCCAGCAGGGGCCAGGAGCCGAAGGAGGGGAGAGATTCTGGGAGCATCTTGTAGTTTGTGTCACTGTCCACCCTTCCCACCCACCTGAATCTGCACTTCAAGCAGAAAGAGAAAGCATGTTTGCACATAGGAGCCCACAGGGGGTGGGAGTGAAGATGGGAGGAGACCAGAGGGAGAGCCTGTGTGGGTACTCAGGGCACTTTTTACTCTAATTGCCCTTTTCCATTCCCTGCACTGGGCTGGGAGCCTCTGAGGGCCTGGGTCTTGTGGTTCTCCTAAGGCCTGCTGGTGTGTGTTGAATGAATGCGTGAATGAAGGAATGAATGAGTGATTGAATCAATGAATGATTGAATGAGTGAGTGAATTAATGAATGAGTGAGTGAATGTGAGTGATTGAGTGAATTGATGAATGAGTGAATGAGTGAATTGATGAATGAATGAGTGATTGAATGAATGAGTGATTGAATGAGTGAGTGAGTTATTGAGTGAGTGAAGGAATGAGTGACTGGTTGAATGAGTGAGTGATGAATGAATGAATGAGTACATGAATGAGTAAATGAGTGAGTGAGTTATTGAGTGAGTGAGTGAGTGAGTGAGGAGTGAAGGAATGCTTGCCTGAGTGACCTGAGCGTTAGAAAACCTGCTTTCCAGTCTGGGACCTGCCACTGACAACCTGTGTCCTTGGTCATCACATCACATCCCCTTTCTGGGCCTTGGTTTCTCCCTGAGCCGCCCCTCCAGGCCCGAGGCAGCCGGAGCCCCAGGCTCTGGGAGATGAAGAGGCCGAGAGACAGGTGCTGGGACTCGGGGGACGTGGACAGCTTGCAAGTGGGCTGAGGTGTCCTCTGATACCTGCTGTCACGCCCAGAAATGGGGCAGCTGGGCGGCGGGGAAGCGTGAGCCCCACAGGCTGAGGGGGAAGGGAGGGTGTGGGCTCGGCTGGACCTGGGGTGCCCATGGCAACCTGGCTTTTCTTTTTCTGACAGATGAGGTGCCCCAGCAGCTGCTCTGGGTGTTGGAGCCTCCTGTGAGGGTGTGGGGTGGGGGTGGGGGTGGTACAGACGGCACAGTCCCTGGGGCAGGAGGAGGAGCGGTGGGAGCTGGGATCCCCCATCTCGTCAGCTGCGCCCTGCTCATCCTTGCCTTGCTGTGTTCTCTGCAGATCATGATCGAGTTCTGTCCGGGGGGAGCTGTGGATGCCATCATGCTGGGTGAGTGTGCCTTGGTCCAGGGTGTGGGGGTCGGCTCTGTCTAGGGCAGGCATCCTTCACGCCCACCCCGGTGATTCCCCGGACCTGTGAGCACCGCCCGCTCTGTCCCCTTTCGGGGGCAGGGGTTAGGGTCATGGAGAGAAGTAGCACTCTGGTGGGAAGACCAACCCATTCTGCTCACTCGCCCCCTTGAGCCTTCTCGGCCATGAGACGGATGTGACGACGCCTTGGCCCAACCCCACAGCACTCTTAGGAGGTGACGAGGAGACACCTGAGGGAAGTTCTTTGAAAAGTGGGGCTCCCCACCCCCCATTTTGTAAAAGCTGAATGGGGATGTTGTCTTTTTTAAAAAATTAAAAGAATATTTTTTTACATGAGGATATGCTTTTTATTGATTTAGAGAGTGGAAAGGGGGAGAGAAAGGGAGGGAATGGGAGAGAAACATTAGTGTGTGAGAGAAATATTGATGAGTTGCCTTCCATATGCTCTCCATACCTGTCCCAACCGACCAGGGATCAAACCTGCAATCCAGGAATCTATGTGCCCTGCCTGGGAATCGAACCCTCCACCTTTCAGTGTATGGGATGACGCTCCAACCCAGCCACACCGGCCAGGGCGGTTGTCAAGTCTCTCTCTCTCTGTCTTTTTATAATTCTCACTTAAGACTATTTTTCCATTCATTTTTAGAGAGAATGGAAGGGAAGGAGGGAGAAGGGAGAGAGAGAGAGAGAAACATCAGTGTGAAAGAGACACATTTATTGGTTGGCCTCCTACACTCGCCCAGATTGGGGCCAAGGATTGAACCTATAAACCCAGGGATGTGACCTTGACCAGGAGTGGAACCCATGAGCCCTCAGTGCGTGGGCCAACACTCTAACCACTGAGCAACACCAGCCAGGGCTGTTGTCAAGTCTTGATGTCCCCAGCAAGCTTGGGCAATAACAAAAAAATACAGTAGTAATCACCGCTCTTTTGTCACCTTGAGCAAGTGACCTGACCTTGGAGCCTCAGTTTCCTCATCTGTAGAATGGGGAGATAATTGTGCCCACGCCATAAGGCTACTGTGAGGAGGGCACAGGTAACAAGGGAGGTGCTTAGAGGTGAGCCTGGCACACGGTCACTGCTCGGCGGTGTTGACGGTGTTGGATTTCGTGCACCAGCCGTGGGCCTGACCTTGAGGTGCCCGCAGCGAGCGCTTGCTGAATTGACAGTAGATCTCTCTGTTCCAGAGCTGGACCGAGGCCTCACCGAGCCCCAGATTCAGGTCGTTTGCCGCCAGATGCTAGAAGCCCTCCACTTCCTGCACGGCAAGAAGATCATCCACCGGGACCTGAAGGCCGGCAACGTGCTGATGACCCTGGAGGGCGACATCCGGCTGGGTAAGGGCGGCTGCCGGCGGGTGGGGGGCCCAGCCCCATGGCTTCGGCCTGAGGGTGTCGGCCTGGCCTCTGCGGGCAGGAGGGGCGAGAGTAGGAGCCTCGCTGCCAGGCCACCAGGACGTGAGAGCCCTCCCCACCTGCTCTGGACCCCTGGGCCCCTGCGGTTCCCGTGGGCTCTCGGTTGATGGTGATTTTGTCCCCCGGGGACGCCTGTGGTTGTCACAACCAGGGGAGGGACACTGGCACCTGGTGTGTGGAGGTGGGGACACTCAGCATCCAGAGCACACAGGACGGCCCTCGGCCCCTCCAGACAAAGAGCGGCCCTGCCCCAAGGCCAGGGGGCGGGGGGCAGGGAGTGCTGGTCTCGCCCTTTGCTCGCCCTTCTCGTCCCCCCAACCCCGCATCAAGGTATGTCCACCTGTCCCAGGCCTCCCTGCTTCCGGTCTTATTTTTGTTGGTCAGTTCATTCTGTTCATTAGATTCCACAAATAAGTGAGATCATGTGATATTTATCTTTCTCAGATTGGCTTATTTCACTTGTCATAATATTAAATTACATAAATAATGCAAATATAAATAATTTAAATACTGTAAATAAACACATCTGAGCCGTGGGTAGTAAACTCCTAACTGTTTTATCTCCACCAGATTATGGAGACTTTATAATCAGTTAAAAGTTTGAGTTTTTTATAAGCAGTACTAGAGGCCCAGTGCATGAATTCTTGCATGGTTGGGGTCTGGCTGGCCCACCCCTGTTGGGGCTGATCGGGGCCAGGCTGACCAGGGGGAGGGACCATGGGAGGTTGGCCGGCTGGTCCCACTCCTGATTGGGCCTCTTGGCCGGCTGTAGTGCGTGACATAGGGACCAGTCATTCTGGTTGTTCTGGTCTCTTGGCTTTTGTATATATAGATTGCCTTGTTAATCAGGGGGAAAATGTCTGTATAAGTGAGTATAGAGATAGAGTTTGGAATGGGTGGACCCACAGAGAAGGAAGATCTGGTTACAAGTTACTTAGTCCCTAACTTCAGTTTTCTCATCTGTAAATTGGGTATAATAGTTTTCCCTGACCACAGGGTCCTAGATAAGATTGATATGCATAGGAATTGATATGCAGTTGTATGCAAATGACACACCATGTCAGATATAAATGAGAGGCATGAATCTCTTTGCATGGTGCTACACACCAGTAAGGTCTCAATAAATAGGCTGCGCCTAGGGATTGGGCCTGCCCTCTGCCACCCGGGAGCAGGCCTAAGCCTGCAGGTCATTATCTCCTGAGGGGTCCCAGACTGTGAGAGGGCACCGGAATCGAACCTGGGATCCTTCAGTCTGTAGGCCGACGCTCTATCCACTAAGCCAAACCAGTTAGGGCAGATAAATATGTATTTGTTTAAAAGTTGGGATTGTAGTGCATATATAGTTTTCCAGTCTGATTTTTTTTCTAATTGAATGATATCAGGACGTTTTCTCCTACACCTTAAATATTTCTCAGAAACATGGTTAATGTTTTCCTTGCCTTTGGCCACGTGCGTAAACCGTGATTTACCTACGGAGCCCCTCAAGTTGGATTTGTAGGTTTCTCCTCCCCTGGTCTCCTCTAACAGAGGCGGCGAGGAACACGTCTGCTCGGGTCTGAGTCTCTGTGCGAACACCGTTAGGAGCTCTCAGAGCGAATGTGGGCTTTGGGCGGCGTTTCAGGCTTTCGTTAAAACCTGGGTCGGGTGCCCTGCACACTGGTGGTTCCCATCCCCTCCCCCTCCACCACCTCTCCCAGATGGAGAAGTTCTTTCACCACATCCTGGCCCGCTCCCACTGGGTTTTAAAAAAAGAAAAAACAAAAGTAAAGACCCCAAAACTCCAAAATCTTTGCCATATGCCTGTCAGCTTTTGAAACCATAAAAGCCGTGTGTACTCTTCATTAAAGAGCCCGGCCGGTGTGGCTCAGTGGTTGAGAACTCGTGAAACAGGAGGTCCCTGGTCAAGTCCTGGTCAGGACACATGCCCGGTTGCAGGCGCGATCCCCAATAGGGGGCGTGCAGGAGGCAGCCGATCAATGATGTTTCTCTCTCATCAATGTTTCTATTTATCCCTCTCCCTTCCTCTTTCTCTAAAAGTCAATAAAAACACATTAAAAAGAAAAAAGTATAAAAAAAGAATAAAAATTCATGAAGTAAAAATGTAAGGCCTGTCAGTGCCCTGCCCGCACCCACTCACTCCCGGGGAGGGAGTCACTAGTGAGTGTTTGGTGCAGCTGCCAGACCCGTTTCCGGGTGTGTGGGCCCTGGGCACATACAACACGCGTGTGCTGTTCCTGAGGGTCCTTCCGAAGCGTGCTGTCCACTGTGATGTGCCCTGGCCAGGCAGCAGCTTGTTAAGGAGACGCGCCCCGTTAGTATGTGCGGTCCCGGCCTCGTTCTTGTTCAGGGCTGCGTGCTACTCCCCGGCCTGGGGAGCCACAGTTTATCTTACTGCTCCCCGGCTGGGTTCCAGCAGTGACGGGCTTTTCTTTCGGGTTCTCACTCTCTTGAATATCGCTTCATCTTATAAATCTGGTTGTGAGGATCTGTTTCTAGAAGTAGAATTGCCGTCGAACATGCTTCTTAAGCCCCGCGTGGCCATGGTTTCCCGAAGGTTCGCGAGGAAAGGCGTTCTAGCCCCGTCTGGGTTCCCTAACCCTGGCTGCAGCCGGGCCAGCTGCGGGCCCGGGTGCTGTGGACAGAGCAGGAGTGACCGGCCTCTTTTTTAAAATATATTTTTATGGATTTCAGGGAGGAAGGGAAAGGGAGAGAGAGAAACATCAGTGATGAGAGAGAATCGTGGATCGCAGGGAATCGAACCATGATCTCCTGGTTCATAGGTCGACGCTCAGTGTCTGAGTCATGCTGGCCGGCGGCCGGGCTGGTCTGTTCCTATGGAAACGTCAGTTGATGAAGCGAGTCCCTACCTGCCCGCTGCCCTGTCTCTGATGCTTGTTTCCAAATGGGAGGAGGAGTCGGTTTTCATCAGAAGAGAAACCCCTTAAATTGTCGGAGGGCAGCCACCCACCCATCAGAGAGCAAATTGCATTCAGGGCGCAGATGGCTGGGGCCACCCTGGCTGCGGGAGGGGCCGTCTTGTGGGACCGAAGGGGAAGGAGCAGCTACCCAGGAGCCAGTGGCACTCCTCGCGGGCTCTGGGGACCAAGTGGGTGTCACCGCGAAAGCTGGTGGTTTCTGCTGTCCTGTCCCTTCTTTGGAAGGACCGGCAGGGCGGGGGGCAGGGGGGTGAGTGGGTGGTGGGGGGAGTGGCAGCTCCCTCAGGGGACCTCAGTGGGTCTGCGAGAAAGATTCCCCGGGATGACGGGATGACGTGCCCTCCGCTGCGGTGTTTGCAGGGGAGCTGGGCCCGGGGGCACCCAGCGGGAAGGTCAGCCTCTGCCCATTCCTACCCAGGAGCCCAGAGGGGCGGTGACTCACCGGGGCCACGGGGCGGGGCGGGGAGCAGCAGCGCTGGGTCCTCACCCGGGTTGGTACCTCCCTCTCAGGCCAGACTGTCCCTGCCAGGGTCAAGGGTTGTCATCAGCTGAGCCACTGCTGTCTGAGCAGCTGGGGTCAGAGACCAGCTCTCCTAACCTCAGCCTTGCCCCAGCCCCCAAACATTTAATCCTCCTGACAACCCGACAACGTAGTTCCACGGTGCCGTGTCACCATCCCCGTCACAGGCCAGGAAACTGAGGGTCAGGCTTGGAAACTGCCCCGCTCCCTGCCTGCTCCCCATTATCTGCTGCCCGTGAAACACAAGAGCCCAGACTGGAGCCCCGCTTCCTGGTGCTCAGGCCCACTAGGCGCTGGGCTCCCCCCAGGTTTGCAGTCGTGGGGACTGAATTCAGCGCTGTCACCTGCTGGGGTTCGGGGCGGCTCATTCTGAGACTCAGGCCGAGGCCCCAGGAGTGGCTGCCGTTGTAACAACTTAGCAGTTTCTTGCGACAAAGCTAAGCTGACCATTGCCTACTCTCTCAGGGTGTTGCCTCCTGAGTTTATTTTTTAATCAAGATGAAACTTAGTCCCAAAGTCCAGGGCGCTGGGGAGATTCCTTGGCGGCACTGGATTCTCCTCCGTGCACTGGTGGCGCTGGGTGTGGGGCTTAAAGAGACGCGGTTTGCCCTGCTGGTAGCTCAGCTGGTTAGAGCATCTGCCCAGTGCACCAAGGTTTCAGGTTCCATCCCTGGTCAGGGCACAAACAAGAATCAACCAGTGACTGCATAATCAATGTTCCTCTCTCTCTCTCTCTCTCTCTAAATCAATAAAAAACAAAACAAAAAGATAAGTTATATTCATTTTTTGTTAGTCCTGAAAGTCATACATGCTCACCATAGCAACTGTGAGGAATTCAGAAAGACCGAAGGAACCTGTCTGGTCGCACCGCCCACAGACAACCATGCACACAGTTTGGTTATGGCCTCCACGTCAGGTCAATGTCATTCCTGCCCTTTTTTGGGAGATGGGCATAATTTTGACCATACAATGTAGTCACCTGTGCATCTCCCCTTTCCCACCTAGCTTGTAAGTATATACATAAAATATCTTTACATTGTTAAGTATTAAAGTATTTACGTAGTAAATGTTAATATTAAATACATAGTAAATGTTTAATATTGATATGTATTAATATGCATAATTTAGTATTAAAATATGGAATAAAATACTTATATACTAATTTTAAAGACTATAAAACATTCCGTCATATGGGGTTTATAATACTTTTTTTAAAAATACATTTTATTGATTTTTTACAGAAAGGAAGGGAGAGGGATACAGAGTTAGACACATCGATAAGAGAGAAATATCAATCAGCTGCCTCCTGCACGCACCCCAGTGGGGATGTGCCCGCAACCAAGGTACATGCTACTGACCAGAATCAAACCCGGCACCCTTCAGTCGGCAGGCCGACACTCTATCCAATGAGCCAAACCAGTTAGGACCTCA